ACGATGGGTAGGTTTCTAATAGTTACTATTTTCTATTGCATAGACAGTGTCTCCTCTTTCAATTCCATTGGCATTTCAGGAAAACTGTTTTTTGTTTATACTTGCCTTTCTTGTTCTGCAGGTCATATCAGCCTTTATGCTTGTTAGCATTGTCTTCATTCCTATTGGAGTCGTTTCCCTCTTTGCCTCTCGAGATGTATGATCAAGCCCTCCATCACTGAAAGAAAAAATCTTGCATTTTTCATTTTTTCTTCCTCCAAAATTGGCTAAACATTGTTTTCCTTTTGTATCAGGTCGTTGAAATCATTGACCGTTATGAAAATGTTTGTGTACCAGAAAGTTTCAGAAATGATAAGGTCGCATACATACAAAGTGATGCTGACAAAATATGCAACAGAACATTAAGAGTGAGTTTCTTATGCACATTTCTGTTTGTTGTTTTTAGTGTAACGATGGCGAAAATTAGGGGGGCCCAAAGACGAGGAGGTTGCTAGGCTGTTCTTGTCTTTTCCCTTTATCATTTGACCATGGAACCCTGAACTCTCTGCTATTTAAGTTCCAGTTGTCAAAACTTTTAATTTATGATTATTTCCTATGGTTTAACCAAAATTCTCGAATTGCTATTTTCTTTTCTTCTGCCAAATTTACATTTATTTGATATTGAACCCTCCTATGTATAAGCTTAGGCAGTGTAGTCTGTATGCTAATGCACAATGCAATCTAGCCGACATCTTGGGCCTCAAGCTGGGGGGCATACCTTGTGCAACAAGGCACAAGCCTTGAAATGCAACAGGCAGAAAGGCATGCCTCAGTTAAACGTCTTTTTCTCTTTATTTTTTTTTCAAAAATTTTATTATGGTATCTTTAATTGACAAGAAAGGATAATTCATGTTTCTTTTACAAGAGAAGAATTAAGTATATTGTTTGGGCATAATGCTTAGAAAATAGTGCACTTGTTCACATGGCCATTACTTTTTTGCACCTTGCACTCAGGCAATGCAATAGACAAGCAAGCACAGATTAAAGGATGTAGGGTCTAGTCCCCCAGCCATGGCTTTAGGGATCAAGTTGACTGCTGCGCTTATATAAATTACACAAGCAGGCACCTATCAAAAAAATTATATCCCAGTAGGGCCCATTCCTCCAACCGCAGCCTTCAGTATCCTAATACATTAAGAGATCGCTGATCATAATTAACTCCTGAAATCAGATGAAAAATGAATATATCTTCTAACTTTTCTCTTGTTTATGTTAAAAGGTTAAGAAGCTCATGAAGCAGCCTATCTATGTGTACTACCAGCTTGACAACTTTTACCAGAATCATCGGAGGTATATTTTGTGTACCTTTACCTTAACTTATGCACTCCTTAATCATATACTCTACTGCGAGCTAGTCAATCTTTATATAATATAAAGGATATCTTTTTTCATTAGCGGACACTGTCAAATATATTGACTACATATGGAGCAGTAGTTTGTCTGGTTAAATGTATAATAATATTTTTGACAGATGAACGTTTTTCAGATTTTCAATACATTTATTTTCACATTTTTTAGATCCTTGAAGTAACAATGGGATCTAGGAGCTAATGTAGGGAAAACCTTGTTGCTTTAGAATCAATTCTTTTAAGAATATTATGCTGCAGTGGTAGATCCCATAGTATTCAAGATATTGCCTTTGGAGCGCAAGAATAGTCATTATTAGAAAATATTCTCAAGCTGTTTAATCAAGGTTTTTAAATTTAGATGTTTGCTTTATTCCTCTTCTCCATTGGTTTGGTTTGATGACAATCCTTAGTCTTTAACCCTGTATTTATTATATTTGGATTGATCTGTTGCAAACTCTTGATCATTTTTCTTTTGCTTTTTGCGCCATCATATTTGTCCCCTTTTTTGCCTGCTATTAAGGAGTTTAGATCTGCCAACTATAACAACGAATACACAGAACATAAAGATTGATGCTTTATAATATGGTATTAGAATTTTCTAAAATGATTAAGCATGTCGTAGCTATATATGTCCTTTGTATGCTTCTCGACTAATTTTTGTCAATGGATGGAGGGTTCATGGTTGAAATGACAATATGAATGGAAATGCACATATTTATGATTATTTTTTTGTGGCATCAAGATTGCTGATGGCTTTTCATATCTCAGGTATGTGAAGAGCCGAAGTGACTCACAGCTGAAAAATAATAACAGTCAGGATGATGTTAGTTCTTGTAAGCCTGAAGATAATACTGTTGATGGGAAGCCGATTGTTCCCTGTGGTCTTATAGCTTGGAGTTTATTTAACGATACCTTCAATTTCTCCCTCAACAACCAGCAGTTGGCAGTGAACAAGAGGGGCATCTCATGGAAGAGTGATAGGGACAGTAAGTTTGGGAAAAATGTGTTTCCTAACAATTTTCAGAATGGAAGTTTTATAGGTGGCAAACTTCTTAATTCATCTGTCCCTGTAAGCTTTCACCACTTCTTATCTGTTATTCAGTTTTACCTTCTGTTTTTCTTTTTTTTTCTGCACAATATAGTTTCTCAGGCATCTAGTAATGTAGAACCTAGTCTCAAAACAAGCACTCAGGAAATACTATGAACTTTCAATTGTCGAAATCCCAGAACTCAAGTCTCACTAGTCACCAGAATAAAACCATGCATGTTGTTATGGGTACAAAATTTTTTCCGTAAGAAACATTGTCGTTAATTTTTAACTTAGTCTTTCATGTGGGTTTCAAATATTCATTTATCTCTATGTACATAACTTTGCTTGGAGGTGGCATTGTGAATGGAAAATAAATCAATGGATAAAGACACGATTTTAAAAACAATTATTAGCAAATAATATAATTTATATTATATTATAAATTTTATGTAATTTATATTAACATTATTAAAAAATAGCAATTCATGTAATTTAAAAAATATATTTCTTAAAAAACTAAACATATAATTCAGTAATATGTATATTACATTTATGATGTGAGAATAAAACATTTCCTAAATTTTCAAATTGATTTCAACATTGATCTTCTTTATATAATTAATTATTAATGATCATTATAATTTGTTATTCTATAATATTGTTATACTGCCTTATGTTAACTAAACATTTAATTTTATCTTTTTTCCTTTTTATATTTCCTTATTCCATTTAACATTTCTTTACTGTCTCTTTTTTTTATCTTTTTTGTTTCATTCTTTTTCCCTTTTTCTTTTATGTTCTCTCTTGGCCGGCCCGCAATGAGCCAAATCTAGCCCCTTTCAAAGCTGGAGCCCAAAGAAGGGTGGGGGCTTTGGGGACCCAGGCGGTCATCCTTTTCTTCTCTGTCTTCTCTTCCTGCCTTTCTTTCTCTCCTTTACTGTCCTCTCTTTGGCATGCTGTCTTCCTCTCTCCCCTCACCTCTGAAATTCTGCATGTCATGCTCTCAGCCAAAATGCCTATTCTGAGTTTGGTTGTGAAATGTCAAAATTGCCAAATTAGTTTTAAGAATTCTGGATGCATAGCAAGACAGGTGGGGCATGGTGTGGTTGGGACTTAGTTTTTCATTTATGTATGTCACAATTCTCAATATCTCAATTATTAAAAGATACCTCAGAAGTTTGTCAAAAACCTATTTATATGTGCTTCATAGACTATAAATTCAGCCCGTGAAAATAAATTAAATGAAGGCCTACAAAATATGCACAAATAACCAATATACTCTTTCCTGAATTTCTGTTTAAAGCAAGTGTTTGTAAAAATATATACAGTGGTCTCCATCATCTGGGCATTTGTGTGCGCTAGGAAAGCAAATAATTCTGGCATTATTAATATTGTTGCAAAATAAGTGTATTCATTTGTTAACGAAACCCTCTTTAAAAGGCTTCTGTTGCAAACATTAAAATCTCTAGGAGCCTGTATTTTTTCATTGAAGGAGCCTTTGTTTACTCTTTGAAATTCCCTTTAAATATTAAACTACTGGCTAACATATGATATATATGACAGTTGAGTGAGCAGGAAGACCTCATTGTTTGGATGCGAACTGCTGCTCTGCCAACTTTTAGGAAGTTGTATGGGAAGATAGAACGGGATCTCCAACCAAATGAAGTCATACAGGTTTCATTGGAGAATAATTACAACACATATAGTTTTAATGGCAAGAAGAAACTTGTGCTTTCGACTACTAGCTGGCTTGGTGGAAAAAACGACTTCCTTGGCATTGCTTATCTCACTGTTGGTGGGCTGTGCTTCTTTTTGGCTTTGTCTTTCACTGTTGTCTATCTGGTCAAGCCAAGGTAAACTCTGATTTCTTTCATTGTTTTCTTGCAACACAGCCTCAAACAGGGTATCTAAACTAAGCTTTCACATACTATGGCAAGGTTGCTGTTATGTTTACCAACTTGTCTTGGGGGAAATCTAATTAGGGAAATCAAAATTTCACATTCTGCTGTCTTAGACTACACATAAAGGTTAGATGAGGAAAAATCAGCCTGGTGTTAAGGAAAATTACCTTTAAACCCCATGATTCCTACCCATATTTAGTTGTGAATCATTTAGGCATGGGCCAATTTGGCTCCTTGTTGCGTGAAGGGGTGAATATCTCAAGTGTTCAGTTTTTTCTTGGATTTTCTGTCTGCTTACCAGTGTCTTGGCCTTTGTGACTGCGGAAAGTAGGTTACATCAAGCTAATGAATCTAGTTTTATAGACGGTATGCCTAGTACTTGATTTTTTAGGTGAGGATTGGGTGGGGTGAAGGGGTTAGACCTATTGTTATCTACAGAAGAAACCTCTACTTATCTTTATATGTGTATAATTTGCTGGACATAGGGTTATACCTTTTCATGAGTTATTATATTGGTTTGTTGCAACTGATGTGTTGTACGACTTACCATTTCAGGCGACTTGGAGACCCATCTTATTTGTCATGGAACAGAAATCCAGGAGGGCACTAGGCAAGAGTGGAAACCTTATCAGAATGGTTGATGTAATTTTGTGTTAATATTATAAAATGGCTAATATATAATTTGGGATTGCCAAATATTATAGTTCCATTTAATTTGAATTGTGAAACAGCTTGTCAACAGTAAATTCTATGTATAATTTCAGCAACAGCTCAATACAAGTACAAGAATTTTCATCAGCTAAGAAAACAGATTCCTCCAATGCTTTATATTTCTATGAAAATTGTAATGTCACAGTATGCGAAGCAGGATATTTGAAAGGTATGCACCCTCTGGGTAGGATGGATCAATAGGATGATCACAAGCTGCTCCACTCTGTCTTAGGACTGTGATTTTTCTCCCTGCCATCGATGCAGCACCCTGATTTCAGAGAAAAATAGGTCAAGTAACACTTGGAATTTAAGAGGTCTGTTTTCAGAAGTAAACTTACACATTTCAACACTTTTTTGTGGATTGATCATGGTTCTATGTTGGTGATCAGCCGAAACAAATGGAAGTGTCTGAAAACTAGTTCTTGCTTAAATGCTTCATAGAACAAAACTATAGGATTCCTGCCCTTCCTCTTAATTCCTTTCATATTAGCTAAATTTCATAGCAACTAACTATTCTCGTAACAATTACCTAGCGAGATAGAGAAGAAGATGCTTTGAGCTGCTGGGTTGGCATGGTGGGTTTTCCTTTGAACTGGCTACTTAATTGGACTAAATTTGTATGCAACTTTCTTGTGTAATGATAATGATATGCAGCACGATAATGATGCTAATAGTAACAACTTAAACCAATTTTCTCAACAACAATTTCTCCAATTATAGAAATACGGGCACTATAATCTATTGGAGGCATTGTTAGGATGGTTTATACTGCTAGGGAAAGTACAAGTTACAGAAAATACTTGCCTGAAGAGTACGCAAGAACATCCCACTTTGGGTCATAGCTCCTGAACAAGAACAAGTCATGAGAAGGCCACCTCTTCTTGTTATTTGCATTGCTAGTGAGTTTAAGTTCCTGTACATGCCTGATGCACTTTGGAGAACCTGGGTATTATTAGATTTTAAGAGACATAAATATAAAAGTGGGTATGTTGCAACAAGGGCAAAGGCATTAGTAAACTCACAGCATACTTTTCATACATGAGAATTGCCAGGATCTGGGTGCACGAGAAGTGTAACATGTTCAGTTATGTGAATGTGAAGTGAAACTATAGGATATTCTTATTAATTTATTCATGGAAAGACAACAAAGTTTATCTTGAAATTAATTAAAAAAAATTTATTCATTTCAACTCACCTAAGCTGCTTTAAACTGCTGCTAAACTCAAGGAGTTTTGCACGATACCAGAACAAGAAATAGCACAACTATATAGGAGATTAATTAACACGATAATAAATCATATGAATTAGACTGTCTTCATGAATGTGCATACAGATGCAGAGCACGTAAAATTTCTTCACCTTGGAACAAGTCAGCTTCCAATGTTATCCACAAGAAGTTCAGATTGTGCTAAATGTTAAATACATTGTTTAATACCTTTCGGCTTGGTGCTAATTTTGGAGGATCAATAATAACTACATCCCACGATTCATTTCTAGAAAGAGCACCCTTCATAAATTCATTTGCATCTTCTCTCAAAAGTGAAATCTTTTCAGGGTCTAGATAGTTAAGAGCAATATTTTCTCTGGCCAGCTCTAATGCGGGCAATGATGTATCAACACCTGATAGAATATAAGACAGAATCACATAAATAGTCCCTGAAAATATCTACAATCATTCAGAAAAAGATTTTAAGCTTTCTTGCTTAAATGAGCTTTGTCAGGAGATACTTAACGTTGAATACAACTCCAGGTCAAAAGGGATCTGCTGGCTGATTCTAAAATTTCAAAAGTTGAAGAAGTTACCAGCTTTTCTCATAAAAAAGTTCAACCACAAATTTTGATCTCAATACTTAACTAAACTTTAATTCCCAACCAGCTATAAGAATCTTCTTCCACAACTCCTAGTTTATTGCCACATTCTTCAACATGTTCAGAAATTCAGCTATTGGCAAAGAAAAGAGGCCAAAGCTAGGTCTATGCTCAAATACTGATATTGCAAGAAACATAAAATACATAATTTCAAGTGGATAAGGGAAATGACCAAATTTGGATAAGAAATCACATTCCCACCAGTAATGAATCCAAGAATACAAGGTTCTAATAGTTCTGTTTTACAAATTTTCACTTAAAGTGACCTTTGGCTATTATTAGTCTGTTTTCTAGAAAATCCTTGACAAATTAATTTCAAAATCTATGCAAGTTTCATCATGTACAAGCCAGTAATTGCCCCTTTAATTTTTGGGTTATTACAAATATGCATTTGCACAAGGCATGTATGACAACTCATGTTAGCCAAAATTATTAGCAATACAAGTAGGCATTTTGCAAAGTATGAATAAAAATTTTAGCAGTTAGATACCGGTAATACTCATGGCACCTCCTTTTGCTGCGTTTAGAGCAAAACCACCACTGTAGCAGCAAATATCTAGAACTTTCCGACCACGTGAAATTGTTGATAGGAACTTACGATTTTCACGCTGATCAGCATAAAATCCTGTCTTCTGACCCTCCAATGAGATTGAATAAGAAATCCCATTTTCCAGAACCTGGCATATAGAAGTAGCATGACACCTTATAAGACGCATGTTAAACAATGGCATAAAGGAAAAAGTCACAAACAAAAAGCAGTTTCTGTACAAAGCATTTCAAAGACCCTAAGTAAAAGAGTGATCACAGTCACTTATCAAGCAAAATGGCATTTCATCAATTGGGAAAGAATGAAATCTAATATTTCTCTTCATTTTATAAATGAGATACAATCCTGGAGGGAGAATCCTCAAACTTCAAGCTCAGACTTTATATATTTAAATTGATATGGATACAGAATGTGCATCAGAACCCTTTCAACATGTTCAGTGTGCAATATTTCAAGGGATTCCTACCTTTGTTCTTTGGGGACAAGTGGATGGATGCAACTCTTTCAGATCTGATGCATCCATTCCTTCTTCTTTTAAAATTTCAATAGAGGGTCTCCAGTGTATATGATTAATTTCATCAATGCCACTGATGCATGCTTCTACTTGTGATTTGTACTTCTCAACCCAAGCAGCAGATGACGCTACTACTGCTAAATCTCCAAAGACATCGACAATTAATCCTGACAATCTACAGTGAAGAAGTGACATCCAATTTGCAAATAAGAAAATAAGCATCCAGAAACAGTTTGGTTGGAATCAGAAATGGATTATGAGAAATACTGGCTGGCTCTCAGACATACAGAGAAAAACCGCAGACCATTTAATGTGTTTTATCTTTTTCTTCTTCTTTCTTCTTTCTATTTTCTTGTTTCTGTTTCTTGTTTCTTATTGGTGCAGTATCATAGTTTTGATACCAGTGGGTTATCTCATTTCCCCTTTTAATAGCTTTCTAATAAAACAGAAATCAACAATCTAGCTGTCTAAAAATACATTGATTTAGTTATAAGCCCCATAACCTGCTTCCCAAACCCACTATGCTATCTTTTTCTTGAAATTTCATTTGAATTGAAGAAAGGGAGAACCTGAGTTCACCACTTACAACAATTTTGCAAGGTTATGCCCCAACAACCAGGGGTATACCATTACAAAATTCTCTCCTTGTCGAATTCCCTGTACACTTTCGGAAAGGAAACCACCCTAAACACCCTAAAATCCCACTATGCTATCTATCCAACTAACCAGCTTGTGAATCCAACTTTAAGAGAAAATTATTTGTGCATATATCTGTTTGTTTGTGTTGAACATCATTTGATCAAATGCCATTCCCTTCTAAATCTTGAATCAACAAGTATAATTCATGATTACAGTTACCTGTCTCCTTCACTATTGACAAGACGGTATGCATTCGTAGCGTCTGAAGGAAGACCTAATCCTCGACGTAACTCTATAGCTGCATTGATTCTAGTTTCAAGCAGGTTCTCCATGTCCAGTGCACAAGAAGGATCTCTGTGCGGCATAATTTAAGGAGGTTAATTGCCTTGTGGAGTAAGTTAAACCAACTGCAAGACCCTGCCCTTCTTTGAATAACTACCTTGTTGCTTCCTCTTCTAGCTGCATGAGCCGAACGCAGAACATAGAAACTGAATTATACAGGCCCCATCCAATAGGTGTTTCTGTCCCATCAGCTACCAGCACAATATCTCCAGTCTTAGGTGGCGGTCTACCAATTATTCTATCAACTGCTCCACTGTAAACCATTGGGCTTCCATTTTTAAACAGTTGTGTCTTCCCCTTCTTCAGAACAACCTTTGCAACCCCTATCAAAGCCAAAATAATTACAATAAGATTAAGAAATTTAAAATCAATCGACTAACCCTAAGTTTGAGTTCTTTATGTGTCAGTTTTCTCAAGTAAGGCAGAGCATAACAATGAGACAGCAATCCAGCACATGACACAGGAATCTAATGCAGATTGGACATCATTAAAGAATGTCAGAAACGCTTTTGTGAAACTTTTCTGATATGACATAAGCTTAAATATAAGGGGGGACAAAGCCCAATTACCAGGAAAATGAAAATAGACTAACCGCAGCCCTTCTAATCTCTTTAAACTACATCAATGATCTTCTAATATTTGTATAAGCTAACACATTCCTTTGAGTAAATTCTAAGGGGATATGGCGAAGGGAGAGACGTCAAAGAGGCATGCCCTGAAATGTTTCATTGTCATTAAATTGCTCCATTTTGGTTTCTATTTCCTTCCGTTGTCCTAAAACGATGGATTTAGAATAAAAATGTTATCCATGACAAATTGACACAACTTAATCTAACCACCATTTTTTCCTAGAAAGAATCAAGAAGGAAAGTGATAACATTATAATAATGGTCAAGAATGTTTGCTGAGCTTATAACCTGGTTTACTGTTTCTCTGGCTTTTAATATCTCTTACAAGCAATTAGAACTGACTGAACAATCCTCACTGGCCATTCTATCTTGTTGAAAGAAATGTCTCGTTGGAACTGACGTGTTGATAACCATGGCCATTCCCCACAATGGGCCCTAATCAATACGATGGATTTCTATGAAAATAAAGCAAAGATGCATGGATGAGGCAAGTCATTTTCCACATTACATCTAAACATCCCAGTATGGTTTTGAACTCGTAGAAATCAGCCGTTACTCCTCTCTTCCTCCCAAATTTAAAAAAGATTGCATCTTTAATTTAAACAAGAAGCCAAATTTCCAGAGAAACCGGTTACAGCAAAATCGAAAAATAACTTTGCATAGAAAAGCAATGCGCAGACTTGTGCATCTCAAGAAACCCATTTGAGAAGTGTGACCTACCGACCTTTGGGTTGAGAAGAAGCAACACGTTGAAGGATAGAGGTGGAGGAGGAGGGTGCTGGCGGTGGCAGGCGCGAAAAAGAGAGTGACTTGATAAGGCGGGCTTGAAGCTGCAGCATGTTTAACAATCCTGGAGCCTGCAGGGCTTGGTTTGGATGTTACTTTCCAGCTTGGTGGGTGGGATACATCAGTCTTACATCAGTCTTAGCTCTGTTTCAAAGGGAATTGCTAAATAGCAAATACCAACATCCCATCCCATCCCATGCTACAGGGCTCTTTTAGGCTTCATGGATTAACAGAGTTCAAATCATTATGAATACAAATAACCTTATTATTATTAACTCTATCATATAAAAGTTTTAATATTTTTTTTTATAATTAGAAGATGGGGATTCGAATTCTGTTTTTTAAATAGAGAATAATGTATAAAATAATGAATTAAATATTGGAATGTATATAAAATTTTTAATTATTAATTATTTATATTTTTATAAAAAATAAATTAATATTTTAATAATAAAAAATAAAAATGAAAGCAAAATAGAACTTCTTACAAATTCAGACTCAAAATTGGAGAGATCCAAGCCCATAAATTGAGGATCTCTACGGCATGAGTAGTCATTAAAAGCCCAAAATAGGTGCTGTCCAAAACACCAACATGCAAAAACTGATGAGCACCACCCACTCCACTGATGTCTGAATCACAAGAAGCTGTCGGATCCAGACATCAAGACTGCACTCCAGCCTCGAGTTATTGCTGCTATGACAGTCGAACAATATTATCTCCTGTCCGAATCCAAGCCTTTTTACCCGCAGTTCAGATTGCTGTCCAGATTTAACATATTCTCACCCTTAGTCTCATGACAGTATCACTGCCACTAGACTCCATTCCCATCCAAAACCCAATAGAAACCAAGCTAAACTCAAATTCCTTTCACACCCCAACTCTTATCAAATGCAAACCACCATTCAGTCTATAATCAGGATAACGTTTCTCATCCAACGGAGGCTGCAAGGACCCATATTTAAAAATAAATCCAGCAAAATAGGATCCTTTACAAGTTCTACCATCTACTGAACCAGCTCCTCCTCTTTTCCAACTCCCTCTTTAGCTAACAAATCCACATCATCATTGGCCTCTCTAATAATGTAAGTTACCTTTCGTATAGATTAATTGACTTTTGAAGGCAGCTGATTTGCACCATGCAATGCCTACACAACCATGGTGCCTTGGAAGGATTATTTAACCACATCATCGCATTTTTTAAGCCACTCTCTACCCATAAATTAAATTGTGACTGCCTTAGGAACTTAGTGAATAAAATAAAAGCTTCTTTGATGGAAAGGATTTCTATAAAATTTGCGTCACACATCCCCACTCACTTAAAGAATCCGATAATGATGTCACCTTTATAATTACGCAAGATCCTCCAATTCTCGCATCTCTTGGATTTCCAACAGAAGCACCATCCATATTGAATTTAACCCACCCTAACATTGGAGCCTCTGCATCATTCTATCTCTAGCTGGCTTTGACTTAGAGTAATGGACAGGAGGCTTACATTTTTGAATATATCTTCATGTGACCTTATCAACTCTAGCCACTTAAACTTTGTTCCAGACAACAATCCTTAACTTGCTCAAGTCCTACAATTGCTTGCCATCCCAACTCTTTCCATTAAATACAATGTCATTCTTGAATAACCAAATTGACTAGGATATCGCATAAAAAGCTAGTAGCCACAATTTCAATTTATCGTTATGGATACACACTAAAACACTATCACTAACTATGCCTCTTTGCTTAAGTACGTGATAGTCTGTGCAACGCTTACGTGGACACTTCCACACAAGCCAGCCAATAACTTGATTATATATGAGCAAACATCAATAATAGCCACTAGTTAGTTTATGCAAAAGTAATTCCAAAGTCATAAGGCATAAAGAATGCCATATACGCAACCATTGAATCCATAAAAGGAAAAATGTTTTATTAATATCTAAAATAAGTACAAAGGGACCAAAAGCAGTAACGTGCCATCGTCGTGCCATAAGGGGAACATTAGATGGTTAGCTACAAACATACCTTTACCAATGAGGTAGCTTAACAATCCACTGATTGCTCACCTCTTATAAAGAGAGAACAAAGTTTTACAAGCATACCACCAAGAATCGTTACAATGCGTGAAATGGAGACATTCCTTCCCTAAAAGGTCTTCCACCTTCAGACTTAATGAGCATTTCCAAATATGCTACAAAGTGTCATTACAATGATTAAAAGGGGAACATTTCCCTTGACGGTACAATGGACTTAATCTCCTAGATAGTTTTACCTTGTCATAGCCCTATACAAGGTTAGCTCATGACATTCTACCTCACTCAACCTGTCAACGTTTTCGTTGACTAGTTGGCTTGGAACTCTTTGATCTTTTGCTTGAAGGCGCGGAGGTCAACTTCTTTCTCCTAAGTGATTTTATCTGTCCTCATACTTTCCCATTTCACTAAGTACTCCTGTGTTGGTAGTTGATTGAATATGGTCGTTCTGTTTGCAAGAATCTCTTATACTCGATGTTGCAATGGTGGCTTGGTGCTAATGATGGCTTTTGTGGCTTGACTTTTGCTTGCATTTGTTGGATCAGTTTGGAATGATTTCAGGTTGCTAACGTGAAACACTATATGCATTTTCATCCACTTAGGTGGATCAATCTTGTAGGAGGTCTTCCTTACTTTAGTTGTAATCGGTATCGAGCTTTCATACTTTTGCATTAGTTGTTGATCTTTTTTCTTAAGAATCTGAGTTGTTTGGTTACCAATTTCATTAGTGCAAGGTCCCATACCTTAAAGTGACACTTTCTTCGACCTTTGTTTGCCCACTTCTTCATGTGGTTGGAAGTTTTCTCTAGATAGGCTTAGGCGATCTCAGTGTTCTATCCCCACTCCTTAGCAAAATTAAAGGCTTGAGGGCTAGAGGGCTTTTCTTAATATAAGATTCCACCGAAGTGTGGGGGAGTCTAGATTATTGCCCGATGACAACTTCGAAAAGAGTTTTGTTTATGGTGGAGCTTTCTACAAATTGAAACATAATTGAGCCACATCTAGCAAATTAAGTCAATTTTTCTAATTTACTTGTACAAAGTGTCGTAAATATTCCTCTAGTAATCCATTGAAGCGTTCTATTTCGTCTTCTGTCTATGGATGATAATTGGAGGAGATATTGAGTTCTAACCCTAATAGCCTGAAAAACTCTTTCTAAAAGAAACTAGTAACTCTTGGATCCCTGTCATTAATAATACTTTTAGGAATACCTTAGTATATTCCCACATGTTTGAAAATTGTACAAGCTGTTTCTTCTACAAAGCAAGACTGCACTCCAATCTCAAGTTATAGCTACTATGACAGTTGAACAATATCTCCTATCTGAATCCAAGCCTTTTACCCGCAGTTCAAATTACTGTCCAGATTTAACATATTCTCACCTTTAATCTCATGACAATATCACCGCTACTAAACTCCATTCCTATCCAGAACCTAATACAAACCAAGCAAAACTCAAATTCCTTTCACACCCTAACTTTTATCAAATTCAAACCACCATTTAGTCTATAATCAGGATAGCATTTCTCATCCAATGGAAGCTAATCAGGATAACGTTTCTCATCCAACGGAAGCTTCAAGGACCTATCTTTAAAAATAAATCCAACAAAATAGGATCTTTTACAAGTTCTACTATCTATCCAATTATATATATATATATATGTTTGGATATAAGTATCACATTTGGTACCACAATCGTTCATTAAATCCAAAATATTAAACCAACTCCTTCTCTTTTCCAACTCCCTCTTTAACTAATAAATCCACATCATCATTGGCCTTTCTCATAATGTGAGTTACCTTTCATATAGATTAATTGACTTTTGAAGATAGCTGATTTGCACCATGCAATGCCTACACCACCATGGTGCCTTGGAAGGATTATTTAACCACATCATCGCAATTTTTAAGCCACTCTCTACCCATAAATTAAATTGTAACTGCCTTAGGAACTTAGTGAATAAAATAAAAGCTTCTTTGATGTTAAGGATTTCTATAAAGTTTGCGTCACACATCCCCACTCACTTAAAGAATTTGATAATGATGTTAGCCTTATAATTACGCAAGATCCTCCAATTCTCGCATCTCTTGGATTTCTAACAGAATCACTGTCCATATTGAATTTAACCCACCCTAACATTGGAGCCTCCCACATCATTCTATCTTTAGCCGGCTTTGACTTGGAGTAATGGAAATAAGGCTTAGATTTCTGAATATATCTTCATTGTGACCTTATTAACTTTAGCCACTTAACTTTGTTCCAAACAACAATTCGTAACTTGCTCAAGTCATATAATTGCTTGCCATCAATGTTTCTATTAAATACAATGTCATTCTTGAATAACCAAATTCACTAGGATATAGCATAAAAAGCTAGTATCCATAATTTCAATTTATTGTTATGGATACACACTGGAACACTATCAC